TTGAAGCATTTCCCTTTATTTTGTCATACTTTTTTTATTGTTTAAAAACGAGACCCCCTAAAGATTGTAAAATATTTTATTTTTTTTGTGATCAGATAGTGAAAATATCCCCATTTACACCTCATGCAATGTTCCCAAACACGAGGTGACTCTGATTTTCCTTCTTTCCATAGTTTGTGCATGGGAGAGAGAAACTTTACCTTATTTTATCCTGGGGAACGAGTGACAGGGAGAGCTGATACAGCACCGCTGTTTTTCCAAGCTGCCACAAACCTTCAGCCACAGACTAAATGTGAGAGCTGCTGTGAGCTGCCTTGGCATCAACAGAAAACAAACCACCTGAAAACAGCCCCAATTCAGATTTTTTACCCCATATTCTGGTGGTGCCACTGCTTTCATTTGTGTGTAAACACACAGTGCTCCAGAGATGTTGGATGGGAAGCGCAGATGCTGCTCTGTTCTTACAGAGTGTTTTCACTCGGTGCTGGCAGAGTTCTGAGCTGAGCCAGCTCAGGATTGGGTTTGGTGTTCACACAGATTTTTTTTCCAGGTTGTGAATTAGGCAGGGGTTTATTTTCTGTTGGAAGAAATTCTGGTCCAAGCCCCTGCTACAGAAAGTGCAGAGGAGAACTGAGGAGTTTCCATCTGGCATTGCCCAGGGACGATATTTGGGCTGTGTTTAATGCCCAAATGTAATTTTTCCTGAGTCCAGCCAGGCAGAGTGAGGCTCCTGTGGCAGTGCCAGGGTTTGGGGGCTGCACCAGCTGTTCTGGATTCTCCTGCCCACTGCCACAATCCCTTCTTGTGGCTGCTGGGTCCCAGGCAGGAGTGACAGTGTTGATAAAAATCACAAAGGAGCGCTCTGTTCGTAGTGAGCAGTTTCTTCAGTGGGTCTTTAGTCAGCTGCTCGTCTGCTTTAAACCTTTTGTTCCTCTTCTGTTGTAGTCAGGCTCTGGTGTGGGGCAGGTCTGGGCCTCTCCCGAGGGTGCAAATGCTGGATTTGGGCACTGGAGGGCAAAGCTGTTCCACGGAGGAGCTGGGAGAGCAGCAGCAGCTCTGCCTGTGGGTGGCTTCCCTGGTCAGACAATTCCCTGGTCAGAAATGTCCTGGTCAGAAATTCCCTGATCAGAAATGTCCTGATCAGAAATTCCCTGATCAGAAATTCCCTGATCAGAAATGTCCTGGTCAGAAATGTCCTGATCAGAAATTCCTTGATCAGAAATGTCCTGGTCAGAAATGCCCTGGTCAGAAATTCCCTGATCAGAAATTCCTTGATCAGAAATTCCCTGGTCAGAAATGTCCTGATCAGACAATTCCCTGGTCAGAAATTCCCTGGTCAGAAATGTCCTGATCAGAAATTCCTTGATCAGAAATTCCCTGGTCAGAAATGCTCTGATCAGAAATTCCCTGGTCAGAAATGTCCTGGTCAGAAATGTCCTGGTCAGAAATGCTCTGATCAGAAATTCCCTGGTCAGAAATTCCCTGATCAGAAATTCCCTGGTCAGAAATTCCCTGATCAGAAATTCCCTGGTCAGAAATTCCCTGATCAGAAATGCCCTGGTCAGAAATTCCCTGGTCAGAAATTCCCTGATCAGACAATTCCCTGATCAGAAATTCCCTGGTCAGAAATTCCCTGGTCAGAAATTCCCTGGTCAGAAATTCCCTGGTCAGCCCATGGAAGGTTTGGGGTGGCAGCTCTGTGCAATCCCTGTGCAATCCCTGATCTCCAGCCCTGTTCCCACCACTGGCTTCTTTCTCTGTGCGTTGTTCTTTTGATTCCAGTTTTAGCTGCACAAGTAGAGTTGCCTTTCTTTGACCGAACGTTCGAATGTGAAATATTGTATATTTTAAAGTATTTACCCTATTTATATACCGTATGTTACTGTTAAATAAATATAAATTCCATTATCCACGGAGGAGTTTGATTCAGCCTTGTGGGATGCTCTGTGTGTTTTCCAAACTCACATTCCCTCGTTCCTTGGCCTGTTGCTCTCCTTCCGAAGGGATTTTCTGGAGAGCAGAGCTGGCTGAACAGGAGCAGCCCCATTCCCTGTGGGATTTGTGGCTCATCCTGACCAGTGAGGAGGGAAGTGAATCACCTCATTTCACCTGAGGATTTCCCTGGGAATGTTAAAAATCGTTCCCAGTTCGTTATTCCTTCATTTCAGCCCTTTCTCCTGACCTGCTGGGGGTCAGGGGGGGAGCAGAATCCTCTGTTTATGCAGCAAAATGCTATTTTTAGCTCTGGTGTTATTTTGTCTGTTTTTTTTTGACTTATCAGCTAAGCCAAAGCAGCCCCTCAGCTCCTCTCAGGGTTTCCTGTCACTGCGTGGGCCCTTGCAGACAAACTCAGCCTCCAGCAGCAGCAGCAGGGCTCGATGGAAACCCCACGAGGTGACTCCAAACCCAGCCCCACATTCCTGGGGAACTCCTCCAATATTCAACATTCAGCAAGAGGTGACTCCAAACCCAGCCCCACATTCCCGGGGAACTCCTCCAATATTCAACATTCAGCAAGAGGTGACTCCAAACCCAGCCCCACATTCCCGGGGAACTCCTCCAATATTCAACATTCAGCAAGAGGGCTGATCCTTTGGTGCTAAATCTGCCAGAAAAGGGACTCTGGAGTCCTCAGGGGAGCGTGTGTGACAGCCCAGCCCCTCAGCCAGGGCTCTCCCCCCCGTCCTGTGCCAATTTAATTCCAGTTAAACCTGGAAAAAAGTGCAGATTCCCAGTGGGAATGCTGGTGCTCGCTGTGCTCCAGCCCCAGGCAGAGAGAGCCTCAGGCCCAGCGAGATCCTGGTGGAAGAGGGATGTGAAAACAACTTTATGGGCTGAGATTGGCCTTTTTGAGGTGCTGCTGAGCTATGGAAGGTTTGGATGGGATTTTGGGCAGGGATTGTTCCCTGGGAGGGTGGGGAGGGGTTCTGGCACAGATTCCCAGAGGAGCTGGAGCTGTCCCTGGCTCCCTGTGAATGCCCAAGGCCAGGCTGGATGGGTTTGAAGCAGCCTGGGACAGTGGGAGCTGTGGAACGGGGTGGAACTGGATCATTCCTCAGATCCCTTCCAACCCAAACCACTCTGGAATCCCGTGGTTCAGCTCAGGGTGCCCCGAGGGGTGCCTAAGGTAAAAATTCAATCTGGTGTTGTCCTTTCCCAAAGCTGGGGGCAGCTGAGGCAGCTCTGGGGTGCTGCCAGGGGCTGTTTTGGGGTGGCTAAGGTGAAAATTGAGTCTGGTGTTGTCCTTTCCCAAAGCTGGAAGGGGCAGAGGCAGCTCTGGGGTGCTGCCAGGGGCTGTTTTGGGGTGCCAGGGAGGGCTGAGCTCCGTGGTGTGACTGCAGTTCTGGCCTCCAGCACTTTCTGTTCTGGAGGAGGGGACAGGGCCCTGTGACATCCTGCCAGGGCTCCAGGATCCAAATTTTGTTTTTTGGAGGGATCCAAATCTGTGAGCCTTCAGCTGCCTCAGGACTGCTCAGAACTCTCAGAACTACTGAGAGTTAAAAAAGGTGCTTGATCCAGGGCTCCTTTTGCTCGGGGTACAGCAGAAATGGAGCCACTTGAGGAGTTTTGGGTCCAAAACAGGGTTTGGGGTTAATCTGCTCAGTCCTGGGCTGCTCTGCTGTGGGATTGCACACTGTCACGTTCTCTGGACTTGGGGCAGTGGAATCTGTGAGCTGGGGATCTCTGAGCTGGCTCCAGTCACTGTCCAGAGCAACAAAGTCGTTTTTCAGCTGTGATTAACCCAAATCAACCCCAAATTAATTAACCCCAGCAGGTTCCATCCTGGCTGTGCAGTGACCGGGCACCCAGCGCTTTCCCTTCCTCAGTTTATGTTCCAACACTGAAAAAAAAAATCCCATTTTCAGGTGGCTGAGAGGCTGCTGGGCACAAAGCTGGGCTGGGAATCCCAACAGGAACCACATCCTGCTGCTGTTCCTGCTTCTGCTCGGGGCAACTTCCCCCTGGACAGGCTTGCCCAGGGTGGGGGAGATGGGGCTGGAGCCTCCTGGGGGGACCCTGGGGGTCAGAGCAGCTCCCAGCAGTTGTTGGGAGATTTGGGGGATCCGTTTCCTGCAGATGCAGAAGCTTTGGGGGAGCTCTGCCTGCTTCCGTGGCTGGCAGGTTTTAGAAAATGTATTTTTATGTTATAAAATTATCAGGGGATGCCCCAGGACAGGCACAGAAGGGTTAAGGTAAGGATTGGGGTCAGGGTTTGGGTCAGGGTTTGGGGTCAGAGTTTGGGGTCAGGGTTTGGGTCAGGGTTTGGGTCAGGATTAGGGTCAGGGTTTGGGTCAGGGTCAGGGTTTGGGCCAGGATTAGGGTTTGGGGTCAGGATTAGGGTCAGGGTTTGGGGTCAGGATTAGGGGTCAGGGTTTGGGCCAGGATTAGGGTTTGGGGTCAGGATTAGGGTCAGGGGCTGGGTCAGGATTAGGGGTCAGGATTAGGGTCAGGGTTTGGGG